TTTGATGAATCAGTCTTTCCATACAAGTTTTCTGGTTATGTCAAAACATCAACCTCCACAAACACAAATTCTTCACTACATCCTTGTACATCATTACCATGCATTACATTGACTAATCAAGTCATATCACCACTTTATACTCATGCATCTTCATCAAATATCACAGATTCAGTAACTACAAATGCATCTAGTGCCCCAGATTCATTGGCTGCATCTAGTGCCTTAGATTCTTTGCCTGCATCTAACGCCTCAGATTTCTTGGAAACACATGCATCTGCTACCCCAAATTTCATTCATTCATCACCAAGTCATAGTTCAAATTAACCTCCTAGTCTTGAAATACCCGAAAACACACCTACACATCATCCAGGCCCTGTGGATCCTGATTTCTAGCTTGAACAACTTCATGCTATGTTAACAAGATCTAAGAATGGTATTACCAAGAGGAAAGCTTTCTCAGCTAGTATTGGTTCTTAGTCACTTGTCTCAGAGCCAAAACATTCAAGGTTGCTTCCAAAGTATCAGAATGGAAAAATGCAATGTAGGAAAAGATAGATGCACTACATTCTCAACATGCATGGTCTCTTGTTCCACTTTCAAGTGGTAAAATCCTAGTTGGGTGTAAATGTGTGTACATAATAAAAAAAAGAATGCAAATGGCATTCTGGCAAGGTATAAAGCAAGGCTTGTAGCAAAGGGCTATAGTCAAGAGGAAGGTGTAGACTATGGAGAAACATTTAGTCCTATAGTTAAGCCTACAACCATTAGACTTATTCTTGCTTTAGCATCTCAATTCATGTGGTAAGTCAGGCAATTAGATGTGAAAAATGTCTTCTTACGTGGCATTTTACAAGAAGAAGTGTATATGGAGCAGCCTCCGGGGTTTCAAAGCTCATAACATCCATCCAATTATGTCTGCAAGCTTCAAAAATCACTCTATGGGTATAAACAGGCTCCAAGAGCATGGAATGGCAGGTTTACTAGTTTTTTACCAGCATTGGGATTCAAGTCTTCACAGGCTGAACCATCTTTATTTGTTCAACACTCTCAATAATTCATTGTAGTGTTGCTGCTTTATGTTGATGATGTAATTTTAACTGGCAGCTCATCTTAGTTGATATCTTGGGTGATCAAATAACTTACTACAGAGTTTGAGATGAAGGATTTACGCAATTTACATTACTTTTTTGGGCTGCAAATTAGTCACATAGAAGAAGGCTTATTTGTTTCATAGTCCAAATATATTAGTGAGTTAGTTGACATAGTGGATTTGGGGGATTGTAAACCATGTGCTACTCCATGCTTACCATATCACAAAATCCTAAAAAACAATGGAAAACCATACCATAGTCCTGATCAATACAAAAGTGTAGTTTAAACACTTTAATATCTCACATTTACAAGGCCTGACATAGCCTTCTCTGTGAATTAAGCATGTCAATTCATGCATAATCCTCAGGAGTCACATGTAATTGCAGTTAAAAGAATTATAAGATATCTCAAGGGCACATCAAATTATGGGATTCACTTTAAACCAGGACCAATACATCTTCAATCCTATAGTGATGCAGACTTGGCCGAGGATCCAAATGGTAGAAGATCTACCTCAGGGTTTGTAGTTTTCCAATGATCCAATCCTATTTCTTGGGCATCAAATAAGCAGCACATTGTGTCAAGGTCATCCATAAAAGTTGAGTATCAAGCTTTTGCTATCACAACTGCTGAAATAGCCTGGATAAGACATTTACTTTGTGATTTACACATTCCCCTTTATCAAGCACCAATGATTCACTGTATAACATCTCAACTATAGCTCTATCAACCAATCATGTGTTTCATGCCAAGTCCAAACACATCAAGATCGACTATCACTTGGTTCGTGAAAGAGTTACAATAGGAGATCTTCAAGCGCAACATGTTTCCTTTGCTGAACAATTTGCTGGTACACTAATAAAGGGTTTATCTGCACCCTTGTTTCAACACCATTGTGGCAATCTCATGCTCAGTTCACTAGAGCGTGAGATTGGGGGGGATGTAAGAGTGTAGACAAACACAAAGATGAGGATTTAAATAAAGACAACAAGCACAAAGATGAGAATCCAAGTGAAGGGAATTCAAGGGTCTAGATGATGACAAGTGTCACAAGATCCAAGGGAAGTTATAAGGTTGTTAGAATCTGGTGCTAAGGATGTTAGATTGTTAGCTTGTGTTGCAAGTAATGTAATTAGATGAATACATATAGCTAAGGTGTAAGAAGATAACTTGACTCTCAAGAAATACAAAAAAACTTATCTCTCTCTCTCTCTCTCTCTTGTTAGCTTGTCTTGCAAGTAATGTAATCAGATAAATACATATAGCTAAGGGGTAAGAAGATAACTTGACTCTCAAGAAATACAAAGAAACTTCTCTCTCTCTCTCTCCCTCTCCCTCCCTCCCTCCCTCCCCCCCCCCAACCAATTGGTTTCTTTGATCATCTCCATTGTTGAAACTGCTGCTTCAATCTTTTCATTTTCTTGTCCCAATCATAAATAGTAAAATACGAAACGAATATATAAATGTATTATTGATATGTCATCTTGTTACTATTTTCACGTCAAATTAATTTAGACTTAAGCACCTTCACATCCACTAGTTAAGTCAAACATGATATATAGCTCATCCAACCAAGTGAAGACACCAACCCCTAGGGCATGGGCTAATTTTTCTTTTCCTTCTTTCTTGCCTATTTTATTCTTTATTCTTTTCAATTTTTTAAAAATAAATAAGAAATTCAGTTTTTAGATTTACAAAAAGGACGAGGAAGGTATGGTGAGCAAATTTTGAGGTACAAACAGATTATCCCTAATGTTTTTGCGTATGGATGTCTGCATTGATTAAATTTAATCACTAATCCAATGAATGATCCTAGCTACATAAATAATAACTTGTTTTGTGAACTTTTGATCCATCCCTCTCCTTTTAAGAAAAATAGAATAGAAAAAGAAAAGAAAAGAGTTGCAAAGAGATGGCTTAAAGTGGAATGGAATACACTGTTTTTCAAATATTTGACAAGTGAGTTTCAATAATTTCAACCTCGTGTTCAACATTGGATGACCGGACTGGGCTTCCAGGGAGAAAGGTGCATCATCTCATCATTAAAAGATTCAAAATATATGGAATGCCATTGCAAACAAGGAAAAGCGTAGTTTGATCATTACAGCTGGCCAAAAGAGATAAAGCCACTTGCATGGTTGCATGCTAGCTATTTTAGGATGGACTGCTTTCACTTTCAGCCTATCCTCGACGACCTAACCCTAAACTGGATGACGATGAGCACATCTCGCTTTCGGCATGATGTAACGTGAGAGGAACCCTAGTTTTTTTCATGGCTAGTGAGATTTTTCACCCCTTTTAAAATCTCCAGCGTACTCATATGAACGCAAAAAATATATAAACTCGTAAATTTAGAGTGCAAATGATTACAAGTGAAGTGTGAAAACCGACTCAAATTGAAAATACTAGGTCATTTGATTTGTAATGTGATGTTTGTATAGTAGTTAGCATTGGTTCTGTTTAACATTGCATTGTGCTATCTATTTGTCTTTGTGCATGAAAGCGCCACATCCTTCTTTGAAAAAGCAATGACCAAAAGTCTTCTATTTAGATATTGCTGCTATACACTGTATAGTGCCCGCCTACAAATTAACAGGGTTTTAATGGTCCCCTCTCAGGCTCTTCCTATTCTTTTCCCACGCGTTTGTTTCAAGTTTTCAATTATAAACGAAAGCAAATCATGACAGCTTGCTCTTAGCTATTTGGTGGACTTGTTGGTATATATCATATATGTTTGGTAAATGACATAGACAATGAGAGTAGGAATTTTACATTCGGGAAAGAAAGGAGATTGGATGTGCTTATAAAATATTGAGTTACTTCCAATATTACCAGTTGATTTTATGAAACCCCAACTTTCTTCAAGAGGAAGTCAGTGAGAAACCAAAGTCAGTCCACGCAATACAAACCTTCTCTTTGGCCTATCGTAGCCTTTTATTGTGTTTAGACTCTTGTGATTGGTAGAAAAAATTTAGAAGTCAGCATGTAACCAAGAGTAGATCACTTCATAATTCATTTATACAAGCTCAAATATAGCTGGATACTATTAAGATCCATTAATTTGGATAGAAAGATTACAAGCCCAAATTTTATACTTCAAAATCTATTGGGTTGAAATATTCGAGCTTGAGAGAGAGGGGGGCTTCTGATTTTATAAATTGTGGAATGAACGAACAATGACAAACTGCTGTAGTAAAACTGTAAACAAAAACTAATTTCTAGGCACTCAATTTTATGTTTATTTTCGGAAGGGATATATAGAATGCAAACCAAGAGCACATTTGATCATCCATGAGGTTGAATCCAACAGGTTACTGGTTGTGAAAGGGAGAAAGATTGGTATAAGTGTAATAATCAGTATACCAACATTTACACTTTCTCAAATTTTCTTCCATTCAAAACCAGTAAGATGTTAGATTTCAACTTCATGGATGAACAAATATGCTCTTGTTTTGGATTCCATCGAGCCAAGGTAGACTCCAACCGAGTCCCAAGGGACGTTCTTCGTCATGTATTCCTCCACTGCTTCATTTGAAGCTTGATGTAAATGTTTTAATTTTGCCTCGTCTTCTAAATGATCCAATATCTTAGTCGCGCCCTCCATATTGCAGTTGTGGCATGCAACCGTAAGTGTATCTGATCTTACAATCTTGAATTGATGAGGTTTGCTGATCCATCCGCGGGAGGTTATTCTTGAATCGGTTACGATAACAATCGTATTATGTAAATCCAATAGAATATTAGTAGTTCCGTGTTCTCGTAGAAGGCCTAAAAGAGTTTGAAAATCCTTCTCTGAATCATTAGCTATGGTGATTACTTGTGTCGAAGTTTCTTTTTCTTTTTGCGCTCCACTCTCTTAAAAAAAAACTGTAATAAAGCATGTTAACAAAATAAAGAATAAGAGTACAAAGCATATCTCATAAATAAAGAGTACAAGCATAACCTCATACATATACATAACAAAACAATTCTGCTGTAATATATACTAGCTAATGAATTAAACCCTCCATCGCTCTAACCCTAAACTACCCGCCAAGCCCCCCCTCGCTCCCTTCTCAACCCCAAAGCCCTCTCTCTCAAACACAGTGATAAACCATAACTGCCCACAAAGCCCAGTCCCTTCCTCTCTCTGACAAAGCCATGAACTGCCGACTGAAAGCCAAATCAAAGGCCAAGTCCCTGGTGGGATCAGTATCCTCGAATTGGAAGAATTCAGCCCAAGCGGCGAAGCTCCTAGGTGAGTTCCGGACTCGTTTTGGTATGCTTTTCGTTTTTCTTTTAGGGTTTGTGAGGAGGAAATAATTTCGATTTTGCTGATAACATGCTTTGATCGTTTGAGCAAACATACTAAAGAACATTTGGTTTTTGGCTGCTGTGCGTGAATTTAATTAATTCATACCGAATTTTTTGTGCGCATAAAACTATATCACTTTTAATATATCGTATATGTATCTTTTAGGGTTTATATAATAGCAGCTAGATGTATTGTGTTTACCTGGGTAGAATTCTGAACAAATTTCGCAGGAGTGGATTCAAATGGATTTTCTGTAGACATGGTTGCAGAGTTCATAGCAGCAGAACTCCACTCGGAGTGCTTGCCATTTCTGAACCCGTCACATGAAGGCATGTGGTGCAAGATCAGCCTGTATGAAGGTCAGTTGAAATTCTAAGCTAGCTAAGAAAGTCGTATCATACAGTGCAATGTGCATAGCTGATAACTGCATGTGCATCATCCGAGCTAACTATAGGGAAAATGCCAGTTTTTAAAGAAAAACAAAAATGTGAACCGCTCCGGAGACCGAAGAGTAAGGGTTCGGTTGTAAGCTTGTGCAAAACCAGTGGCCTAACAAAATAATAAAAAGGTTTTTTTAGCCAAAATGGTCATTGAGATTTGTCTAACTTCTCACTCTGGTCTTTGAGATTTAAAATCAATAGAAGTAGTCCATGACCATCAATCATTTTGGTCATTCGGTGAACAATTATGTAAATAATGATCAAAATAACAAAATTACCCTCAATATAATAAACAATAGGTCAAAATGATTTGGCAAAAATTAAGGGTATTTTTGTCATTTTATTCTAATTTTTTGGAGATTTTTCATGGAATGACCAAAATGATTGATTGTGGAAAAACTCAAGGACCAATTCTATTGATTTCAAATCTCAGAGACCAAAGTGCGGAGTTATGCAAATCTCAGAGACCATTTTAGCTAAAAAGTCTAATAAGAAATCCTTTATGGATTTCTATGGAATTATAAAGATTATCTTTATTGTCTAAATAATTAGTTATAAAGGTAAAGTTATCAATTTATCAGTAAAAATTTAACTGAAAAGGTTACGTAAAAGTGAATTAAAAATTGAGTGCTAGTGTAAGGTCTCAAACTTGTAGAAAATTTATGAAGATGCCTATAAATTACAGGGGTGTTATTGTAATTAAACCCCAAAAGTTAGCATATAAGGGAAACCTCTTATCCCTCTAACCAATAAACTACCGGCCAAAGCCCCCATCCCTCCCTTCTCAATCTCGCTGTGGCCCAAATCTAACCTTAAAGCCCTCGCTGGGAGAGATTTTCAGTGTGATAGTCACACGAAGTGGTGCATCACATGTCTCCATATAAATGGTGGGATATGTATGTTAAAAGGTTAATAACTTAAAAATTAAAATTTTCCACCACTTACATAGAAACACATGGTGTACCATCTGTGTTCCCGTCATAACTAAAAATTTCTCCCTCGCTGGCTCTATTTCTCTCTAAATAGCCATGAACCGTCAACTGACAGCAAAATCAAAGGCCAAGCTCTGCGCGGGATCAGGATCCTGGCAGGTGATGAACTCAGTGTTGATGTGTAACCCTTGAGCTAATATCTTGGAGCTAAAGTTACAAATTTTTAATTTCTTTTTTATGTGATTTATTTTTTTTTCAGATGTAATCTGAGCCATTGGATCATAGTCCAAGTGGTCTCTTCTCTAGCATAGGATCTAAGTGATAGAATAAGACAAGTGGCATCATCTCATAGGATGATAGTAATGAATGGTTGAGATTGTATTGTGTATTGGTGAGTGAAGGATCTCCCTTCCTTTACATACATAACAGTTACAAAATGTATTTTGTTGCAGAGTGGAAATCCAAGAGACATATTCAATCATCTTCTCTCTAAACACCATTGTTGTCTTTGTTCTTCAAACTCTAACACAGAGAACTCCACTGAAATACATATAAAAACACCAACTCTAATATGGCCTCAGAGCCATGTTCGGTTATCTAAACTGGGCGTAAATCTGTGAGAAGAAAACTGAAAATCGATTCGAGCTCATTCGACGATCGAGGTGGTGTGATTTCTTGAATCCGATGTCTAATATGGCAGGATCGGGCACTGTTGAGCTTCGCACACCAGTTTTGAATGGAGAAAATTATGAGTTCTGGAGTATTCGAATGAAAACCATTCTGAAATCTCATGGGTTGTGGGATCTCGTTGAAAATGGGTTCGATGCTTCAGATCCAAAGAAGGAGAAGAAGAAGATAGAAGAGATTGAGGTCACTGAAGTGGAGAAGCCGACGATAGCTGACATCTTGATGAAGGATGCTCGTGCACTTGGGTTGATCCAAGGTGCTGTCTCAGACTAAATTTTCCCCAGAATTGTGAACGAAGAAACTTCAAAGGGTGCTTGGGACATTCCGAAGCAAGAGTTCAGAGGAGATAAGCAAGTAAGGAGCGTAAAATTGCAAGGTTTGCGTCGAGAATTTGAATATACTCGTATGAAAGATAGTGAATCCTTATTTGTATATCTTACTAGATTGTTTGATATAATGAATCAAATGAAGAGTTATGGTGAGGATCTGTCTAGAGAGAGAGTTGTGCAAAAATTGTTGATTAGTTTGCCTAGATCATATGATCCTATTTGTTCTATAATTGAACACTCTAAGGACCCTGAAACTCTTGAGATTCAAGAGGTAGTTGCTTCTCTGAAAAGTTTTGAACTTAGATTGGATAGACATGCTGAAAACTCTACAGAATGAGCTTTTACTAGTCTAAATGTTGGAGGTAAAAACCCTAAGGGAGTAGGTTATTCTGGAAATCAAAAATTTCAGAAAAACTGGAAATCCAAAGGAAAGAAATTGGATAATAAGCCCAATTTTGTTCACAAACCGAATGTCTCTAATGATGGAAACAAAATAGCTTGTAGACACTGTGATAAATTGCATTATGGCAAATGTTGGTTTGAAGGGAAGCCTAAATGCACAAGTTGTGGGAAACTTAGGCATGTGTTCAGAGACTGCCATGGAAATAAAAATATACAGAAGGTGAACTATGTAAACCAGGTTGAAGAAACTGGTACCTTGTTCTATGCATGTAATGCTATGACAAATGTGAAGGTGAATCACTCATGGTACATTGATAGTGGTTGTAGTAACCACATGACAGGTGATGAAAGGTTACTAAACAACATTCAAAGGAATCTGACTTCCAGGGTGAAGATGGGAACTGGAGAAATTGTTCTGGTTGCAGGAAAGGGGACTCTTGTGATAGAGACCAAATTGGGAAGAGCACATTCAATAAGTGATGCTTGTTCTTGGACTTGAAGAGAATCTGCTAAGTGTTGGACAGATGATGGAGCACGAGTACTATCTAGTGTTTGGTGGAAATGTGGTGAATATCTTCGATGGTTGGTCACTGGATAATCTTATTGTTAGAGTGCAGATGACAAACAACAGGTGTTTTCCTCTTACAATGATGCCCGCAAATCAGTTAGCCTTGAAAGCAAGTGTGACACACTGTATGCAGATATGGCATAAGCGTTTAGGGCATCTAAATAACAGAAGCATCAAAATGCTTGTCAATAAATGGTTCATGGATTGCCTCATTTGGAGAAAACCTCTGTTGTGTGTGAAGGTTGCATGCTAGGAAGGCAACACAGAGAGTCTTTTCCATCAAAATCGGCCTGGAGAGCTAAACTTCCATTGGAATTGGTTCACACAGATATCTGTGGACCAATGCAAACTGAATCTATCTCTGGAAATAAGTACTTTCTGCTATTCACTGATGATTGTACTAGGATGTCATGGGTATATTTTCTCAAGAACAAGTCAAGTGCATTTGATTGTTTTAAGAAGTTTAAAGCAATGACAGAGTTGCAGTGTGGATATAAGGTGAAATGTCTAAGGAGTGATCGGGGTGGAGAGTTCTTATCAACCAAATTTGACAATTACTGCAATGAACTTGGAATTCAGAGGCAATTAACCATGGCATATTCTCCTCAACAGAATGGAGTAGCTGAGAGAAAGAATAGGACTATGGTGGAAATGGCAAAGTCTATGATGCATGAAAATGGTCTTTCTTATGCATTTTGGGCAGAGGCTGTGAACACTGCAGTCTACATACTTAATAGATGTCCCTCAAAGTCTCTCAAGAAGATAACTCCATTTGAAGCATACACTGGTAGAAAACCAGGTATTGCACATTTGAAGATTTTTGGGTCACTATGCTATGTGCACATTCCCTCAACACTAAGGCATAAGCTTGAAGAAAATAGTCGCAAATGTATTTTTGTAGGCTATGGAATCTGTGAAAAGGGGTACAGGGTGTTTGATCCGAGTTCCAATAAGATCATCTTGTCTAGAGATGTACTCTTTGATGAGAATGCCTCATGGGAGTGGAGAATACTGATAAGAGTGAAATACAAGTCCCCATGTTTGTTGAGAATCAAATGGCAGAAAGTAGTGAAGGACAGAAGCAAGTGGAAGTATATGAACCAAGTCAACTCTTGGATGCATCAACTCAAGTGGAGGATGTTATTACACCACTAAATGAGAATGTTTTTTAAAGCTCACAAACAACTGACCACACACCACAGAAATGGAGAAGTATTAATGAGATCATGGCTCAGTGTAACATGTGCATTGTAGAACCTGAAAACTATGAAGAAGCTATTCTAGATGAGTCATGGAAAAACGCAATGAAATCTAAGCTTGAAATGATTGAGAAGAACAACATATGGGAGCTAGTTGACAGACCATTTGACAAGCCAATCATTGGTGTTAAGTGGGTCTATAAAACCAAGCTGAACCTTGATGGATCCGTACAGAAGAACAAGGCTAGACTGGTGGCAAAAGGTTATTCCCAAAAGCCTGGGATAGACTACAATGAAACATTCGCTCCAGTTGCAAGATTGGATACTATTAGGACCTTGATAGCACTTACTGCACAGAAGGAATGGAATCTATATCAGTTGGATGTAAAGTCTGCTTTTCTGAATGGAGCTTTGAAGGAGGAGGTTTATGTTGAGCAGCCACAAGGTTTCGTGAAAGAGAGTGAAGAAACCAAGGTCTTTAAGTTGAACAAGGCTCTGTATGGGTTGAAGCAAGCTCCAAGAGCCTGGTATGATGAAATAGATTCCTATTTTAGCAAGGCAGGTTTCAAGAATAGCTCTAGTGAAGCAACACTTTATGTCAAAACTAGTGAAGCTACAGGTATCATTATAGTTTCACTCTATGTGGATGATATTGTATATACTGGAAGATGTCCAAAACTACTTGAAGAGTTCAAGAATGACATGATGCAGCATTATAAGATGATTGATCTGGGGTTACTTCATCATTTTCTTGGCATGGGAGTAGTACAAACAGATAAAAACATTTTTATCCATTAGAGGAAATATGCAATGAAGCTTATTGTGAAATTTGGGATGAAAGATTGCAAATCAATGGCAACACCACTAGTTGTGAATGAGAAGTTATGCAAGACAGATGGTAGTGAAGCAGCAAATGAAAGTGAATATAGACAAGTTGTAGGTAGCTTGTTATACTTGACTGCTACAAGGCCGGATATAATGTTTGCTTCTAGTTTACTTGCTAGATTCATGCATAACCCCACAAAGAAACACATAGGAACAGCCAAAAGAGTGTTGAGATATATTCAGGGCACTCTTGATTTTGGAATTGAATTTGTGAAAGGGAAGACAACTACTCTAATAGGGTATTGTGACAGTGACTGGGCAGGAAGTGAGGATGACATGAGAAGCATTTCAGGATATGCATTTACATTAGGATCCGATATGTTTTCATGGGCATCAATCAAACAAAACACAGTAGCATTGTCCACTGCAGAAGCAGAATATGTCAATGCTGCAGAAGCAACATCACAGGCTAAATGGCTAAGGTTTGTGCTTGAAGATTTTGGAGAGGAGCAAGTGGAAGGCACACCAATCCTATGTGATAACACTTCTGCCATAGCAATGGCAAAGAATCCAGTTCTTCACCAGAGAACTAGGCACATCAGTTGGAAATTTCATTTCATTAGGGAAGTTATCCAAGCAAAGGAGATTGAACTTGTTTACTACAAAACAGAAGACCAGATTGCAGACATACTAACCAAGGCTCTGTCAAAGGATCGATTTGTTTACCTAAGAGATCTACTTGGTGTGAAATCAGCTAAAGGGTTAGAAGGGAGTGTTGATGTGTAACCCTTGAGCTGATATCTTAGAGCTAAAGTTACAAATTTTGAATTTCCTTTTTATGTGATTTATTTTGTTTTTTCTGATGTAATCTGAGCCATTGGATCATAGTCCAAGTGGTCTCTTCTCTAGTATAGGATCTAAGTGATAGAATAAGACAAGTGGCATCATCTCATAGGATGATAGTAATGAATGATTCAGATTGTATTGTGTATTGATGAGTGAAGGATCTCTCTTCCTCTACATACATAACGGTTACAAAATGTATTTTGTTGCAGAGTGGAAATCCAAGAGACATATTCAATCATCTTCTCTCTAAACACCATTGTTGTCTTTGTTCTTCAAACTCTAACACAGAGAACTCCACTGAAATACATATAAAAACACCAACTCTAATACTCAGCCCAAGAGCCGAAGCTCCAAGGTGAATTCCGGATTCATTTTGGTATGCTTTTCGTTTTTTGTTTTAGTGTTTGTGAGGAGGAAATAATTTCCATTTTGCTGATAACATGCGTTGAGTTTGAGCAAACATACTAAGTAAAAAATTTGGTTTTTGGCTTCTGTGCGTGAATTTAATTAATTTGATACCTAATTTTTTGTGTGCATAAAACTCTATCCCTTTTAATATATCGAATATGTATCCTTTAAGGTTTATATAAATAGCAACTAGATATATTGTGGTTACCTGGGCAGAATTCTGAACAAATTTTGCAGGAGTGGATTCAATTATATGTATGTATGTAAATGTGCGGCATGCATATGCTAGGCTTTGTCAATTATCTTCATCCAGATGCTTTTTAACATACACATAAATACATACATACATATGATGGGCTTTGTTAATTATCTTTTGAATTCGAGATTTAATTTGGATTAAACTTGCACAGACGAAGATGACAAAGAAGACAATTTATGTCTATGGCATTTCAGAAGAAGATATTTCTTTAATGTTTAATTAAATTTTTAATATTTTCTTTTTCTATTGAATTATAAAGATTTCTTTATCAATAATAAGCTATAATTGTCAATTTATCAGCAAAAATTTGACTGAAAAGGTTACGTAAAAGTTTGAGAGGTGTTAGTGTAAGGTCTCAAACTTGAAGAGATTTTATGAAATCGCGTATAAACCTTAGGGGAGTTAGTGTAATTAAACCCCAAAAGTTAGTATATAAGGGAAACCTCTTATCCCTCTAACCCATATGCTACCCGCCGAAGCCCCCCCTCCCTCCCTTATCAATCTCGCTGTGGCCCAAATCTAACCTCAAAGCCCTCGCTGGCTCTCTCTCTCTCTGAAATAGCCATGAACCATCGACTGACAGCAAAATCAAAGGCCAAGCTCCGTATGGGATCAAGATCCTGGCAGGTGATGAACTCAGCTCAAGAGCCGAAGCTCCTAGGTGAATTCCGGACTCATTTTGGTATGCTTTTCGTTTTTTGTTTTAGGGTTTGTGAGGAGGAAATAATTTCGATTTCGCTGATAACATGCTTTGAGTTTGAGCGAACATACTAAGCAAAAAATTGGTTTTAGGCTTCTGTGTGTGAATTTAATTAATTTGATAACTAATTCTTTTGTGTGCATAAAACTATATCCCTTTTAATATATTGTATATGTATCTTTTAGGGTTTATATAAATAGCAGCTAGTCATATTGTGGTTACCTGGGTAGAATTCTGAACAAATTTCGCAGGAGTGGATTCAATTATATGTATATTTACGGCATGCATATGCTGAGCTTTGTTAATTATCTTTATCCAGATGCTTCTTAACATACACAGAAATGCATACATACATATGTACAGATACATACTTATATATGATATATTATTAAATTTTTTTCTGTACTTTTCCGTAAATTAAAAACAGATAAGAAGAAAGAGAAAAATGTTGTTCAAGACTCTCTGACTGAACTCAACGTCCAACTTGAGGATACAACTTCAGAGAAGAAAACTTGTGAGCCTGAGAAATGTGTCAACAAAGTTTGTCGTGTTTGCCTCAAGGTTAGCCACTGGACCTGTGAGTGCTCCTACCTCCGTCGTGTCCCAGCTGGCGTATCTGAGGTTGGCAAGGGCTATGTAATAGTTTGTTTGCGTTGTCCTTCAGTGCGTAACAGGTGCAAGCATAATATCAGCCGTGCTGTTTACGTGTATTGTTATATATGTAAAGTGTGGGGTCAGCACATCACTGGTGAGTGTTTGAAGATCCCAAGACGAACGAAGGAGGATACAAAGGAAAATGCGTTGATCCTGTATCTCTAGTGATATGATCCTGCTGAAGCGGAGGTTTAGGATGTACGAATGCTGGAGCAGTTGTATCGTCTAGGGACGTTATTTCATGGTAGTTGCTTAATTTTCTCTCTATTTTCTTTAGTTTGGGCACTCTGTATATGCAATGTTTGTTTTGGAATAAGCTAGCTCCGTCGCCATTCATGGCTGGCGATAGCAGATAGATACTATGTTGCTCGATCGTACTAGTCTCGGAAGTTGCAATAGCTAGCTGCGGCAATTTGATATGTACTCGATTGTTTTTCTGATCACTGCTTGTGCATCATTCGACCTAACAACTGTAAGAAAAATGGCAGTTGTTAAAGAAAAACAAAAATGTAAACCGCTCCGGAGAAAGGACCAGTTGTTAAAGAAAAACAAAAATGTGAACCGCTCCGGAGTAAGGAGGGGGGAGGCATTTAATAGAAAAGGGCAATGCTAGGTTTCCAAAATTTGTAGACTAAATTTTGGAAACTAAACGACATGAAAATCGTGGTCCAACTTCGTGTGCTTTGGTCTTCTTGGGTTTTTTTGGATTAAACTTAATTCAAATGGTTTGTGTTAAGGAAATCTTGGTCCAGCTTCTTGTGAATGAATTTTCGGGGATTGTCATGGTCATTGCAACTCTTGTTTTGGTGGTTTCTGCCAAGGAATTGGTCATTGCAACTCTTTTTTTGCATAATTATCAACAATTTTTATTGGTCTAGAATTTGCACATCAATGGGGTTGGCATTGTCTTTGGTTGGAAAGTGGTATTTTTGCTCTCCAATCGACTGATTTTGGCCTTCTTTGACCTCTTCATACACAATAGTCTATTTGTTTAGACTGCATTCAGAAGATGACTTTCAACAACTCTCACATACATTGTGAGTGGAAAGTTGTTGTGGAAAAATTTGCTAATATGGGTCTCTTCTCCAACTTTGGTATAGCATGATTTCGCTCCGTTGATAGCTCATGCCGATTTATTTTCGGACTATATTGGCTTTCCTGATTTCCGCTTCTCAAATTTATGTACATCTTGGTATACATGTTTGTCTCACTTTTTTATTCTTAACCTTATGATGTTGTTCGATCTGTTTTGCAAGTTTAGACCATTATGTTTGGCTTTGGAGGGGTTATGTTTTATATCCCCCTCTTTTCTTGTACTTTATTGTTTTCATTGTTAGAAGGGTAAATTTTAGGTCCTCTTTTTTTCATATGCTTTTTTATTCTCTTTTTTTTCTTTTCTTTTTTGTCACGAAGACAACTTTCATTACAATAAAAATTAGTACAAGGCCCAAAAAGGATCAGGTAAACAACTACAGGCAAAGTAAAAGGCTTAAGCAAAATGAGAGCAGCAACCCAAGATACAACAAGAGGCCCACAAAAGCTTAGGCTTGAAGGCAGCAAAAAACAAACAATAAAAATCCCTAATCTCCAACAGCAAAGACCACACCACCGCCGCCGTCACATCCTCGAAGAAAGTCAAACTCCGAATCGAGAAAGTAGACATCAAATCCAAGTTCCCTTGACAAAACCATGCAAACATATACAAACAAAGTAACATATGGGAAGAAGGTGAGGCTAAGGGGTTATGTAAAATACCCAACATTTGGCCTCGATGGAAATCTGGCATGCTGGTTGAGGGAGAGGAAGTGAGGGAAGGAAGTGGATCTGATATCCAATTTATTGTTAGAGCCTGCCAATCTAAGCACATGGTGGGATGGGCATAAAGTATCATAGCTAGGGAAGAGGGAGGAAGGGAAATAAAAGACAGAAAGCAGTAAAAGCAGGCGAAAAACGCCGGATAATGGAGAAGAAGCCCTAGATAGTTGAGACCCGGATCAAGGAAAACTGAGATTAAACTCAGGGAAGAATCGAGAATTAAAAAGGAAGGGAGAAAACTGGAAAAGATGAAGGAAGAGGGAGGAGCAGAGGAGATGAGGGGAAGGAAAAGAGGGAAAGTGCAAATGAAAGAACCCTAGAAAACTCAAAAGGAAAAGTAGAAGAGGGAGGAAAAGAAGAAAAGAAAGAAGGAAGGGAGGATGCCTCCAGCACCCAAGCCAAAGGCTAGGGCCGACAACGAAGTTGATGGAACTCTTTCACAAAGAGAATTTTAGAGAGAAAATGGGAAAGAGAGACTCGATTGTATAACAGTGAAGTAAGCTATCAACCCAAATTAAGATTCTTGATTTGCTATACACAGATCTTACCTTAATTAATAAGAGAATTGTTTCTAATAATAAATAAAGACAATGAATTGGTAAATAGTTTGCAGATCACATACAAATTTGGAGTAACACAAATTTAACGAGGATCTATTATAGCCAAACTCTTTATCTTTTGGGGGATCGAAATCTACAATAACATTACTTGGTAGATACTCGCGCTGATAGTGTGAATTTACATCCCTTTTGTATCTTTAGGATGCGACAACCACCAACGAGAGAAAAAAATAAACGAAATCTCAAATTTACATCTTTCAGTAATATATCGTATTGTGATTGTGTATTTGGCAACCACATATAACATTGGGCCAAGCAATTCTACCACAAAAAAATAAAAAAATAACCCAACCCAACTGACAGCTGGCCCCAAATAGCTTTTGAGGCCCATCGACCACCAAGCTGCCTACCCTCTTTTCTTCCCGTGTTTTTCTCTGTAGTCCGTGTAGGCAAGGGTGGAGGACCTGAGACCGACGCACGCAGCAGCAGCAGCAGCAACAGCAGCTCCCTATCATTTGTGTGTGGATTCAGCTGCTGTATTCGTAGCAAATAGCAAGTCAAGGAATCCAATTTCCCAAGGGTAGGTGTGTGTGTTTATATGACTATGATCCTCACGTATATCTGCTTCTCAATTTTTGGGTCTTCCTTCTCTGTAGCAATCGTATTCCAGATTCAAAACCCATTTCGTCAATTTCCCCAAATTTCGTGTTCTCAGTCGAAAATTTGAGTTGGGTATTTATTTATATGACCAATATGTCAGGATAAAAAAAAAGGTTGGTGTAGTTTCTGCAGGTGTATGTAGATTTGGAGTCAATTGGGTGTTAAATGATGTATCCTCCATTGACGTTACACAAGCACCAAGTGACTCCTCCTTCCCCTTTGCTTTCTTCATCTTTATTTATATTTTTAGATGTATAAATTGCACATCACTTCAATGGAATTTTGAGTCCTGAGCCTCCGTCTAACATAAGATGAGATGAGAGAAAATCGATTAAGATGATTTTGAGACCTAAACCAAAGACCAACTGATACTCCGGTTAGAAGATGCTATTATGAGACGGAGGCTCAGAGCAAAAGGGTAGAGGAAGACTTATGAAAGAGACCATAAGAAAAGATATGGTGTACTTATTGCTAACTGAAGACTTGGCGCAAAATAGAGCGCAATGGAATATAGGCTTGGTTGTTGTTGTAACATTTTTTTAGTCAAATGATAACTGGTATTTATTAAATTAATCGAATGCGAATCGATACATTGACATCTTTAGCTAAGATATTGATTTTGGTTTTGGATCATCTCTATATGTGTAGTTGGGCTATGTAGTACCATAACTAAAGATTTCTTCATCTATTTTCTGTTGTTATTTTCGTATTAGGCGCATATGTGTTAGTTTCAGTTTATTATGCTAACTTGGGCTATCTAGTAAAAGTTTTGTCCTCCTGTCATGTATTCATGTACTGGGTTGATTCTGTAATTAATACTCTTTCATTTCTTTCATATCAGATAAGCAACCATTAGAGTTACACTAATCTGAAGAATGACAATATGATGTCTGAAGACGCTGGACTTAGGAATGACAATATAATGTTAGTGGTTTATGATGATGCTTCGGATCAACGATCTTTGTCTTTGGATGATACCAGCAGCACTGAGGAATCGCCTGATGAGACCAGGCTTTCATTGGAGACCACAAATGATCTAACTCCATATATTGGACAAAGATTTTCTACGCATGATGCAGCTTATGAATACTACAGTGAATTTGCTAAGAGATGTGGATTCTCAATCCGGAGGCACCGCACAGAGGGAAAAGTTGGGGTAGGAAAAGGAATTACAAGACGCTACTTTGTATGTCACCGGGCTGGAAACACCCCCATCAAAAACTCCAGTGAGAGTAAACCTCAAAGGAACAGAAAGTCCTCCCGATGCGGATGCCAAGCTTACATGCGGATAAGCAAGACAACAGAATTAGGAGCACTGGAATGGCGTGTCACAGGTTTTGCAAACCACCATAATCATGAACTCCTGGAACCAAACCAAGTTCGTTTTCTTCCTGCTTACCGAACTATTTCTGAGTCTGATAAGAGCCGGATACTTATGTTTGCCAAGACAGGAATTTCGGTGCAGCAAATGATGAGGCTCATGGAGCTGGAGAAGTGTGTGGAACCGGGGTGTTTACCATTCACTGAAAAGGATGTTAGGAATTTGCTCCAGTCATTTAGGAAATTAGATCCAGAAGAGGAGAGTATTGACTTGTTAAGAATGTGCAGAAGTATCAAGGAGAAAGATCCCAACTTCAAATTTGAGTACACCCTCGACTCAAACCACAGATTAGAGAATATTGCATGGTCATACGCATCATCAGTCCAGGCATATGAGTCATTTGGTGATGCCGTGGTGTTTGATACTACTCACCGCTTAACTGCATTTGACATGCCACTTGGGATATGGGTTGGAATAAACAATTATGGTATGCCTTGTTTTTTCGGCTGTGTGCTTCTACGAGAGGAAAGTTTAAGGTCGTTTTCATGGGCGTTAAAGGTAAGAGTGACACTAAGTTTATTTTTCATCTTCATAAAATCTGTCACATCACTTGTATACTTTACAGAGGGATACCGTAAGGATATCTTGGACATACCCGTTGATAGGTACTTAAGTTTAATTTGGACTTTGACTAATACATTGTTGGATACCGTAAGTAACTTGGTCTAGCAAATGAATTAGGATTCTCTTTTGTGACACAAACAAAAGCCATGGAAGCATGTGACAGTGTAAACCAGGGAAGCATGTGATAGTTTAAACTTAGTTTCTGAAATAAAGGGCATCAATAGGATAGGTGGGAGGTGAGAAAGCTTAAAGTGTAATATTAACGATTGGTCAACCGTAAGAGATGTTGCTTAGGTGATTGTGGTTCATACTTCAAGCAAGGGACTGATTCTTTTTTTCCTTTTTTTCTACTTTAGATTTGAATCATTTTTGGCAGTTTTGTAGTACAATTGTATAATGTGAGGGAGCAAGTCCTTATCAAATTTATGGCAGTTTATCTAATGAAGTTGGGGACTTTTCTTACCCCCTAGTAAATGCCAACAATCATCTCCTCTTATGTGTTCAGTATATCAGTCTTTTCCTGATAACCAGTTTGAACTAAAACTTTTATGTGTTGAAATATTCTTATACTCATGATGAATGTCTGGCATCTGCAAAACTTCATCACTCCCAAGTTTACTTTGGTTTTCGTTTTTGTATGAAGGCATTCCTGAGCTTCATGTATGGGAAGGCACCACAGACAATATTAACTGACCAAAATGTGTTTCTGAAAGAAGCAATAAGCATGGAAATGCCAACTGCTAAGCATGCACTATGCATATGGATGATAGTGGCAAAGTTTCCCTCCTGGTTCAATGCTGTTTTGGGTGAACGTTACAATGAGTGGAAGAGTGAGTTTTACCGCATATACAATTTGGAGTCCATAGAGGATTTTGAGTTAGGATGGAGGGACTTGGTAAATTCTTTTGGGCTTCACTCTAACAGGCACATAGTCAACTTGTATGGCCTACGTTCGTTATGGGCATTACCGTTCTTGAGAAGCCATTTCTTTGCAGGAATGACTGCAATTGGACAGTCAAAGTCGATTAATGCATTCATCCAACGATTTTTGAGTGCACAGACCCGACTTGCGCACTTTGTTGAACAAGTATGTGTCCCATTGCTCAATTTACAATTAAATTTGAAGGTCTGGTTATACTCTGATTCATTTTAGTGTCTTGCTTGGTCAAATGTAAAGGTAGCTTGCAGATGATATTAAAATATGAAGATTGATATTTCAGTATTAGGCTATTTATTCAAAGTGGTTTTGTAATTCTACCTTGCCTAAGATTTTGTAGTACATCAGAACATGGAAATTTGTGTGTGTTTCCGTGTGTCAAACAACATCAAAGCACACACGATTTTAACAGGTCAAAAACTGTAACTACAGAGGAAGAAGTGTTGAGCTACAGTAATATTTCTTCCTGTGGTCCATGTGTTATCTACCTTTGACCCGGACATGCTAAAACTTAAAAAAAAATTCTTTGGAACCTGAGTTTTGTCAAATAGTCCGTTTAAATGTGCAATTTTTCAGCTTATATGGAGGTTCTATATAGTACACAATTCCAATTATGAGGGTAAAGTGGAGGTTGATGAATGTTAACCTGCTGAGTGCTGACTGTACTGTAAACAATGTTTTCCTGTGATTGCTTCACGCGTGAATGACAAGCATAGCTCCTTCTACTGATTTCTCTGTGTGGTTTACACCTATCACAGTTGATTTTCTATACTTGTATGAAAGTGTTTTTGGATGGAACATAATTTTACCTGTCATTAAGTTTGTGGGAAGTAGTAGTCTACTTTTGGAAAACCTATTTTGCTGGTATTTAGGAAATAAACTTAATCAAGAAATAGAGTTAGCCTGAAGCTTATTTAATATACATGTTGGTTAATGCGCATTTAGGTGGATGTATTATAGGATGCACATTTAAGGAGCCATGTCTCTTTGTGAAGATGCATGAGGCATATCTTATGATATATGAGGCATCTCTTTTTTTTTATTTTATTTATTCTTTTGTGTTTTTGTCCTCAATTGTTTACTTCGGTTTGCATGAGCAGGTGGCTGTTGCTGTGGATTTTAAAGATCAAGCTGGAGAACAACAAACAATGCAACAGAATCTCCAAAATATTTGCCTTAAAACAGGAGCGCCCATGGAATCCCATGCTGCCTCAATCCTTACACCTCATGCTTTCTCTAAGCTTCAAGAACAACTTGTTTTGGCTGCCCACTACGCATCTTTTCAGATGGAAGATGGTTTTCTTGTGCGACACCACACAAAAGCTGATGGAGGTCGTAAAGTGTATTGGGTTCCTCGGGAAGGCATCATAAGTTGCAGTTGCCATCACTTTGAGTTCTCTGGAATTCTCTGTCGGCATGCTCTTCGAGTTCTATCCACAGGAAATTGCTTTCAGATCCCTGATAGATACATTCCTGCACGATGGCGCCGGATCAGCATGCCTTCTGCAAAACTCCTTCAGAGTTCCCCAAATGAACATGCGGAAAGAATACAGTTATTGCAGAATATAGTCTCAACTCTTGTAACAGAATCTGCCAAGTCTAGGGAGAGACTAGATATAGCAACTGAGCAAGTCTCCATTCTCTTATCTCGTATACGAGAGGAGCCTGTTTCGTTGCAAAGTACAAGAGAGATTTGTTCTACGCATAGGAATATTTGATTCATACCTAAAACAGATAGCGTAGTCCAAGTTCTCATGGACAGCGACGCTTGTCAAGGTTTGCTAAAGAATGTAAGTCGGACAGGCTTGGAAGCTACAATTTGCATCAGAGGCTTGGAAGCTGGTATGTCGGATAAAGTTGTTGCTTGACCTTTTTTGTAGTTGTTTTGGTACCCATGTGATGATGGTTGTTTCGTATGCCCTACTCTGGCCGATGGATGAAGAAATTTCTGCTTGTTGCCAGTCGGGATAAAAGAATGCGGATACATAGAGGCACGGTTGTTTTGAAGCAATGGACGGATGTTTCTCCCTCAGTTGATTGAGTCGGAGTGTCACGCGGTTCCTTGTCTTCACGAAATAGGGACACCAGACGAAACAAGGTTGGATTGGTTACCAACAACTGGAGCACCCTGGAGATATTTGGAATTGACAATAACATGCAGCGGTGCACGCCAACTAAAATCAGGCAAGAGGCTTGTAGCTCGAAGCGATAAGAGCATTTACTCATGTATTTGATGTTCTTTGTTCGATCCCGCACTCCCAATATCACTTGTATCAAGAAAGACATGACTAAGAATCAAAATCGAACCTCGGCAACTTCGAATGGATGCCACATCTTATCTCTGCATCTTCTTCAGTTTGAAGAAAGAAAAAAAAACCCAACAACCTGTGAGTAAAACAGAGTTAGTGTTCACAATAGAAAACAGCTCTTGACCACATATAACAGTGGGCCAAGCAACTCTAGCACAAAAACACAGCCCAACCCAACTTACAGTTAGACCCAAGCAGCTTTTTAAGGCCCATTAACCAGTAAAGCTGCCTACCCGTGCTACGTTGTTATGCCCTTTATTCGTTAATTGCATTTTACATCACAAAGTTTAGACGTCATTACCAAAATGGGTCACAAGATTTCAATTTCCGTATATTACACAACGGGATTTCAAAGTTGTACCAATTTAACCTCTCTTTAAGTTTCACATTCTAATTAGACGTTACAAAGTGGTTTAATTGGTGCAATTCGAAAATTAATATTATGGACTTTTAACGAAACACTCCCGGTACTGTTCACTTTTAATGAAAAATTAAATTTTTACCATTTTCTGGTACTATTCACTACATCTTTATTTGTCATTTTTCACTAAAATTAAAGTTATTTTGACATTTTCATTAGTTTTTCTTTAATATTAATGGTATTAATTTGCGAAAGTTGAAATCTCAAAACCTAATTTACAAATGGCTTCAAAAGTTTTGGTGTAAAATGCAATTAACCCCTTTTTTTGTACCAGTGAATGCATTTTTTCTCTGCAGTCGGTATAGGCAAAGCGTGGCGAACCTTAACCCTCTAGTTTATGCGAAGCCTGAAGGAGGAGGACCTGAGACAGACACACGCAGCAGCAAATCGCAAGTCAAGGAATCCAATTCCCCATTTCCTCAATTTGCCCAAATTTCGTCTTCCTTATCGAAAAATTATAGTTTCTGCAGGTTGCTGTAGATTTTGATTCAATTGGGTGTTACAGATTAAATATGCATCCTCCATTGACGCTACACAAGCACCCCATGTGTGCACAAGTGAGTTCTCCCTCCCTTTTGCTTTGCTTCTTTTTCTCTTTATTTTTTATCAAATTATTTATATGATTTCGGGATTGGATCGTCTCTGTTTGTGTAGTTTGAGAGTCATGTGATTCACTGCCTGAATTGCTTCGGCGTTGTACAATTATAAACAAAAAAAGCATTTGAAGTGTTTTTTGGAAGATATGCTTCTAAGCACAAGTGCTTTTTGAAAAAGCATTTTCAAACGGGTAGTCTAAGGTTCGTTTAGAAGTAATTTTAAAATGACTAAAAGCATTTTTGATGAAAATGTTTTTCGAATCAATCCATAGTAAAAATGCAATTGAATCCTGATAAAAACGCTTTCTACAAGAAGCATATAACTAGTCTTTCTTGCAAAAAACACTTCAATTGCTTTTGGAACCCAAAAAGATTTTCTCTAAAAGCGCTTTCAGTTATTTTTAAAACGCTTCCAAACGAACCTAATTCATAGGAGGCTTGCCCGTGTGTAGCCCAGCTAATGTTTGATTTCAAATGGAGAAAAATTGACAACTTATAGACAAGAGTTGTGTAACCTAATTCATTCATTATGTAAACACGTATGGAGCTACACATACGCAACTAAATAGATGAGTTATGTATCAGGATTTGTATAGCCAGTTCTGTTATAGCTGGATACAGTTTGGGGTTACAATTTATGAGGTTAAGGGAAGATGGTTTTGATCAAACATCTCTCGTAAATCTGCCAAGAAAAGTCATGAAAGTTGTTATCTTGACACGAAAACTACCGTCAAGACTCCTATTTTGAGGTCTTAGATGGTTTCTGGTGTAGGAAGTTTCAGTTTTTGCTATTCAAGTTATGAAATTAAGCAGCAAGTTGATGTATTTATTTTATTTCTCTTTGTGTGCGGGTGTAGATCATCGAGGAGTTTCAGAAGTGTCATGTAGATCATCCTATTGCAAAATTCTTTGGTGAATGTACAGACCTCAAAATACAGCTCGACCGTTGTTTCCGACAGGAAGTAAGTCTTAGTTATCCGAGTCTTTTCATTTTAAAAATAGAAACCGATAATTGTTGTAGAGTCTTGTTAATTATTTTGGGGTTTGGGGTAATAGTTTTGGAATTACTGCAACAGAAAGCTGTGAAGAGGAAGGCAAACTTTGAAGAGAGTAAAAAACTCAAGGAAAGGCTACAAACTTTGAGGAAGGAAACTGCTGAGATAACCACTGAGAGTTCTGTACAAGCTTAATAGCAAACCGAGGCATTCTTTCAGCGACGGAAATAAGGCGCAATATCAGGTATACTTCCACAGATTACGTTGCTTCCACGACATTGATGTGTAAGAGAATGTTTCAGAATAATTTGGAAGTTTGAGGAATATTATCTGTCGAAAATAGAAGTATGATTCATTATCAGTCATAGTTTCAATGGAACTGTGTTATATGTTGAATAATACATGAGCAGCTTCTTTAAATTGCAAATCTTTGTCCTCTTGAGATATGTATGCTAAATCGTAACTAGAAGTTTAATCTACGTTACTTGGTAAAACTTTGGCGAATGGCATCGCTTGAATTTCAATCCACGACCACCACTTGTTTCGTTTCACTACTTTCGCAACGACATTTTAAAGGATCGCCTTACCTTGTATCACCAATAGGGATGGATAAATACCCATTGATTATGGGTAACCGCGGGTTATCCGTCCATTTAAATTAAACGGTTACGGTTATGAGTAACCGTTTAGTTTTAAATGGTTATGGGTATAACCGCTTATCCGTGAAATTTAAATGGGCAGTTATAGGTGTTAATCGCGGTTATAAACGGATAACCATTTATCGATTTATTTTATATATGTAAAATTAACACAAACCATGTTCCCTATCGGACAAAACTTAGATCAATGTTATTGACTATAGTGCATGATTTCTATAGCTAATATAATATAGTTTTCCTTAACCACTTTAAATTTTATGGTTCATTATATATATTTATGTTAATATTTTACATTCCGAGTTAAATAACCCAATAATACTGTTTTTTAATGGTTTTCGTAACCCAATAATACTTAGCAAATTGTATATTACCCTCATTGTTAACAGTTAAAAATATCATCGGTAAACTATTATTTCAATTATTGGAATGGTATAAGGGTTTTCAAAAATTAAAATGCAGAAATGTATGATGAATGTACCTATAACGGTGTTTAATTATTAAAAAAAGAAAATTATGACAAATTTTTCTTTTTTAATTTTCAACTTGTTAAAAAAATACGTAGATGGGTGAAAATGAGTAAATGGTAAAAAAGAAAGGATAAACAGGTTAATAAATAATAAATGGATTAACGGGTATTAAACGGTTAAGGTTAAATGGGTACACGGTTATGGGTATGGTTAACTGTTTATAAACGGTTATGGGTATGAATATAATCGTTTAGGCAATTACCCAATGGGTAAACGGTTATGCGGGTATGAGAATAAATAGTTATTGATAAATAACCGCGGTTACCCGTCTGCCATAACCGTTGTCCATCCCTAATCACCAAGAGACTCGAACAAATGCCACAATGCAGAGCTTTAAATGGGTGCTCTAGCTTCATCAGAGACTGGCCAGCACGTTATGGGCAGAATTTATGCTAACGGAAGCAAAGAAAATTAAAAAACTGAAACAAGATCAAAGATAATTTTGAATCACTCCGAAGGCTGCACACGCGTTCTTTATTTCACAATACGAAAATCCTTGTGCAGGAAAACATTCTCAAAACTTAAATCCTCAACCACCCTTGACGATTTAAGTTACAGTAGGAAATTAAAAGACAAACCCTAGATCGAAGGGCTGAAACACCATTGGAATTTGTATCACTCCTGTTCTCCATTGGACCATTGCCAGCTACATCTCCGTCATCATTGTTCAACTCAATTAAACTAGCTTTGGATGTGCTTTGATTTTTCACTTTTTGCTTAATTTGCTGGATTTGAGAAGGACGATCTCGAGGAGTCCATCATGCCGGAAATGGGGAGAAAAGAGACGGGGGTCAACAGGTCCGGGAAGAGTGAAAGAAACGGCAAATGGTCCAGGCGGGCATAGGTGCTGGACTCTCATATGGTACACAGTTGATGAGTTTCTCAAAAGTTCAACACCGCTCATGACTCCTTGTATATGAACCTTTCCATCACGTTGGATAACACATTTTACGTTACCTGCGCTAAAGATAAACCAAATTTCCCACCAATTATCTCCTACTTCATAGTTGGTCAATGAAATTCGCAATCTCGGACTACATTATGTTTAGCTGACACACGAACAACTACGAGGATTGAGGATTGAGGATTGAGAATTGAGAACTGAAAGTGAAAACACATTACCTCGATTCGTTCAAAGACCAGGAAGTGCAACTCGAGCAAGGTACGCAGCTTCGCTCTCGCCAATGTCGACAACACCGCCACTACCTTCCTTTGCAATTGCTGTTCCGGTCAAAGCAACGCCCGACTCCTTCGAACGTGGATGACGATTCCCAACATTTTCTGCTCCCATCTTGATCACTGACACTCACTCAGATCAGATTTCATTCAAATATTTACAATGCACCACAGTAGGAAAAACATAACAAAACAATCAAAATTGTACAAAAATGCAAGTCGTGGGTTGCCCACGTGGTTCTGGCCTTCCTCTTCAACGTACTGCATCTGGATTCAAACTCTTCCCTCCCATTGGCATAGATTATTGTAGATTATCACTTTTACGTGCAAAAATGTGCAATCTCACATGACTGACCGTATATCAAACTACTATTACGAGTTATCAGTCAAAATTAAACAATGTGGAATTTATGCATGCCGTTGCCTATTACATTACAGAAAATTATAATTCCGCCAAAATTGTGTTATGAAATTTCATGCCGGTGTCGCCGAAACCGAGGGAAAATGACGGAGAATCTTCCAATACACCAAAAAATGGATGGGTTTCTGAACAATCCAACACCCCAGGTCCTCGGATTGGTGGTCGGAAATGGGAGATACGCTCGGGTTCATCGGGTCGCGGCAAAATTAATCCGGACCGGATCCTAGTGTTTTGGACGGAGTGAATTTTGAAAAGCAGATTTGCCAATTTGAAAACGGGCCGGGTCTAGATTTGGTAACTAGGAAAATGGGTTGGGCCAGCACACAATTTTGCGTTAATTGTAGTGAGAAAGGAAAGGAGATAAAATTGGAATTTAATTAGGTAATTTGTTTGAGGTTATAAAATTTATTTTAGTACTACCAAATCAACCATTGGTTGGTGCATGCATGCTACTTACTGTATATCAATTGTACAAGGAAAGGAATAAATTGCTATTTAACTCGGAGTAATTTGTTTGAGCCTTTGAGGTCACAAAATATTTTTTGAATGGAAGGTTTAAAATTATCAATATTAGAGCAGCTCCAACGTATGCTGGAACCCAATGGACAGGTGACGGGAATGACCCACACGTCCCAGCAACAACCTCCAGCCCATGTGAGCGACTGGGGAGGGAAGGGGCCCGAGTGAGAGGCCCGGCGCGAATTGGTGGCACGAGAGCCCGAGGGGAATGTGATGCAGGGTTGAGTCAGCCACGATATAAAATTAATAAAAAAAAGTAAAAAAATTAATAAAAAAAGTAAAAAATTAATTAAAAAAATAAAATAATTAAAAAATCCCAAAAAAATAAAAAAAATCCAAGAAAAAATTTGATTTAGTTTTTCTATAAATATGGTATCATTATCTTCCAACTTACACCATAATTTTATATTTTCTCAAATACTTTGGATTGTAATTTCTTATTTAATGACACGTAGTACAACAAGACCGATTGAAAATCATATCTGAAATTACAAATAAAATTATTTTTTATTATTTTATAAAATAAAAAATACTAATATTTTATTGCCTATTGCCATGACTATTCAGTTTAAGGGTGGAGATGCAAAAGACAATTACTGTTCAGTGAAGGTAGTTACAGTTCACTTGAGGCTATTCAATAGTGAGTTGCCCAAGGGGGCCTTTGCAACGCTAGAGCTGCTCTTAGGATTGAGTCAACGGCATCAAATTCACTTGTTTATTTATTTGTCGCTATACTCATTTTAGGAATAAGAGAAAAAATAATAAATCCAACCCATGAAAACCATCCAGCCCAACCCATCCTAAAATGGTTTGGGTGGGTTGGTTTGCCTATTTTCTTGTGTAAAAGGGGTTATAATACTGACAACCCGAGCCTATTGAGCTGGGCAAAGAGATGAAGTCCAACCTGACCAACCCACCCAATGGTCACCCCTATTAGTTAGAGTGAAAAATTGTTTCCATTGACATATATTAGAAATAAAATATGCATTACCACCTATGTCAAATGTGAAATAATTTGCTGATCTTAAACAAAGAGAAGTAAATATTATTTAAAATACAAAAGAAAAAGGATAAATTACATAAAACCACCTCAACTATGAGTCGCATATAATCTCATACTCCATATTTTGAACATTGAAATGTTATACATCATCTTATAACTTTGTCGCAATGTCATACCTCCATCAACTTTTCTGTTAAATGCTGAAGTGGTAGGACTGGAGCCCACTCATTCGTTAACTGAAATAAAAAATTAATTAATTAATAATAAATTATTCTTATTTATTTAACAATTAAATTTCATTAAAAACAAATAATTTTGTGGACCCCATGTTTGTTTAACAATTAATTTAATAGAAATAATAATTTTGTGGCCCCCACACCCAATCTCTATTTTTCTCCGTCAAGCTCTCCCTTATCTCTTAACTTGCGTCTCTTTCTTCATCCCTCAGCCACAAGTTGCACTGTTGTAACCGCATGTTTCACTGCTGCAGCCTATGCTTCATTCAACCTCCAACCTTTACCAAAACACACGAAATTTATCTCAAAACGGAGATCACAAAACAAGGAATAGAAATATACCATTTTTAGGCCAAGTTGTGGCCGGATAATGGCCTGAGCTTGTTAGCCCAAAACTGGGCTTGTGGTTTCTCGCGAAATTGAGGCAAATTCGAGCCTCCCGTGCTCGAATCCTAACCTCAAGATGAAGGGGAAGTGATATGTGGCCTTAGTCTTGTCCAATCCGACGAGTAATTGACATATTTTTCATCGAAAAATCGTGAGGTGGTGGCAGCATCCATTTGTGTTAGTGTACAGAGTGAGAGGTTAGAGAAAGTTGGGAGTTGAGCGTTGAGGGAGAAAAGAAGAGAGAGTGACACGGTTGTGGATGTGGTCTGGAACGTGGCTGTTCTTTGGGGGTTGGCTTCTCTGTGAACATAGAGAAGAAAGAGACGGTGATAGTTGGTAGAGAAAAGAGATTTTAAGGGAGAAAGAGAGAGATTGGGGATGGGGGGCCCACAATTTTTTTTAATTAAATTTAATTGTTAAATAAATAACAATAATTTATTATTAATTCATTCATTCATTTTTTATTTCAGTAGACGAATGAGTGGGTTCCACTCTTGCCACGTCAACATTTAACAGAAAAGTTAACGGAGGTATGACATTGTAATAAATTCATAATATGAGGTATGACATTGAAATGTTTAAAACATGAGGTATAAGGTTGTTATGCAACTCATAATTAAGGTGGTTTTGTGTAATTTACCCAAAAGAAAAAAGATTGTTTGTAACTGCAAGTAATTGTGCTCCAAAGAAGCATTGGACTTGTATGGTTTGCAATGTTAAGTGGTACCTTTCTAAGAGTGTATCAAGGCTTCCATTGTACAAAATTCAATTGTACCATGTTTATATCGCACTTGAAACCGCATCTTCGCCTTCGTCTTCGCTTTCCACAACACTGCTTTCCTAAGGCCATCTCCAACCGAGGGCCGGCCAGAGGGCTCATTTTAGCCACATGACCCTCCAATAAATTAATATTTTAATGACCAGTATAAGGCTATAATTGCTTCCATCTCCAACCGAGGGCCATAGGGCTTGTTTTAGCCCTATCACAAAAAATCGTCTCCAACCGAAGGCCAAAAGGCCATAGGGCCAAATATAATTTATTATTTAAAAATTACAACTTAAATTCAAATCCAACGGCTAAGTGACGTTAGCTAGCCGTTGGATTTGAATTTTTTTTTTTTTTTTGCTATAAATATGGTGGATATTGGGCTATAATTCACACAACTTTGAATTCAATCTCTTTCAATTCAAGTTTACAATAAATTCCAACTTTAGATCCTTTTTGGATTCCAATTGGGGGCCCTCATCCAATTCCAAATTGGAAGAAAAATGAGCGCAAATGAGACGAGAAGATGAAAAGTCTGATGAAGAAGTTCAAGTAAGGCGTAACAAACAAAACAGAGCAGCAGCCATGGCTGCGGACATGGTGTGTCAGCCAACTAAGGAACAACCTCAATGGAGTGGCTCTGTTGCTGGTCACTTTTACAAACCACGAGAAAGAATGATGACGCATGCCAATCTGATGAACAACTACTTCAACCTCAACTCGGTGTACACAGAAGATTATTTCAGATGTCGCTTCCAAATGAGGCATCATGTCTTCGAGCATTTACTTCATGATGTCCAACAAGTCAATCCATACTTTCGACAAAAGCAGGACAAAGCAGGCCGCCCTGGTTTCTCACCTCATCAGAAGGTTATTGTTGCACTCTGAATGATGGCCTGGCTCCCCAGCTGATTCAATAGATGAAACCCATGGTATGTCTGAGTCTACATGCCTTGATACTCTTGAACATTTATGTGACACAATTGTTCATGTTTACAAAGACGAGTACCTCTGCGAGTCAAATCAAGAAGATCTGAATCGATTCCTTCGCAAAGCTAAAGGCTGTGGGTTTCCGGGCATGATAGGGTCATTAGACTGCATGCATTGGGATTGGAAGAACTGTCCCACTAGATGGCAAAGAGGCTTTAGCGAAAGGTCGAGAAAGTCAATTGTTTTGTTAGATGCGGTTGCCTCATATGACACATGGATCTAGCATGCTTTCTTTGGAGTCCCTGGATCCCAAAATGACATTACAGTTCTTGGGCGTTCACCCCTCTTCAAATGCCTGACAGAAGATAAAGCACCTCAACTTGACTACTACATCAACGGCCGTCAATACAATATAGGGTATTACTTGGCTGATGGCATTTACCCAAAGTGGGCAACACTTATCCAATCAATTCCAAACCCTAGGAATGACGCGAAAAAGTTGTTTACCTTACACCAAGATGCATACTAGAAAGATGTTGAGAGAGCTTTCGTTATTCTACAAGCAAGGTGGAAGATCATCAGCGAATCGGCAAGAAGGTGGAGTCGAGAAAATTTAGACTCCATATGTCTTGCATCATATTACACAATATGATAGTGGAGGATGAGCGAGATGGGTATATTGATGGAGAATCCGATGACAACCAAGAAGATCCAAATAGGTCAAGAAGGGCTTGTGCAAAAATATATGATGGGCCTAATTTGCCTTTCAATCCAAGAACTGGTAGTATCTCTATAAATGAGTACATAAGGCTCTATAGAATGATACGCTCCCGTGCCACAAACAAGTACCTACAACAGGATCTTGTTACACATCTTTGGGCCAAAAGAAGCATGGAGTAGGCGTTTAAGTTTTATGTTGTTAAATGTTTTTAAAAATGTTCCGAAATGTAAGGAGTGTAGTGTTGTTGATCCAAGGGTTGCGATGACTTGATCTTGGATGGATGGATGCTGCAAAGTTTTAGCTCTTGACAATTAAGGATCGGCACGGGTAGTAGTGCTTGGTGATTCTTCGAAGGTTTGGTGAAGAACGCAGAGAGCTTTCTGAATTCTTTTAAGTGATTGGGGATTTGGGTGCTTGAACTTTAGCAACGTTTGGATGCTTGAATGATTTATGGATCCTCTTTTCTTTATCTTGAAGCCTCTTAATTATAGACTCTTCAAACCTTGACTACAGATGGATTTGGCCTTGATTGTGGGCTTGATTAATTGACGAAAGAACCAATACTCGATTTGTGAGCCGGTTCGTGATTTGACTCCGTCAATTAACATTTGATTTAATTAAATTAAAATCAAATAAGTCCCTTATGCCAAGTGTTGACACTTATCCTTCTTGATGACTCGTCGGATTTGATGAATCACGTGCCATGTGTACAATTTGTGAGACACATAGTACATGCCACATAAGCACTCGCATGCCAAAATTTAATGCATTGGTGAATATTTAATTTCACTGAAATTTCGATGTCTACACTATGATCTAATTTATTGCTCTTCACCTTAAAGTAAAAAATCTTAGATTCGAATCTTGTAAATTGAAGTTTGATACCATTATTTATTTGTCCTTCCTTAGTGTAAATATGTATCATTGTATCAACAAAAGGAAATAATTGGTGCTGAACTTCTCACCATATTCTACCATTTATGTGGGGGTTCTGAGAGATTATTGGTACTTCTCTCCGTAATGTTGTAAAAACTACAACCTCTCTCCCAAATGATAAATTTGATACTCATTCGTCGTAGATTTCTTGTGGAGTACATATTTGTAGGGACAACGATCGGCCTACTATTTACTCTGAAAGATTTTTCTCCCTAATAATTCTTCAGTTAATTCTGTAGTGTGGAGTTCAACTATGTTGTCCTAGGGATGTTAAGTTTTAAGGTTTCTTTTTTCAGCCAAACAAAAATAAAATTGAGAAATTGGAAACTTCATGCACAATAATACACGTTGATGGAGCTTCAACCATGACAATTGAATGGTAATCATGAGCTTATAATACTGTTTTCTTTCTAATGTAAGGATACGCTAACAACTTGTTCATTTGGACGAATAAACATCTGCTTTCGAAAGAAATCGAAAAAATTCTTGGGATGGTGACCTAATGACAGGGGAGCCAACGACCGAAGCCCCGATAAGTTCGACCCAATGCTTTATTTCTATCCTAGTCCTAGACTAATAATACGATAACTTCAAATCCAATTGTTGAATCAATTGATACTTGTAATAATTTTGAGACGAAATAAAAAAAAAGTGTTTCGAAAGAACATTGTTTCTTTCGTTCTTGTATTAAATCTCACCAAAGTAACTGACTCATTTTTCTAATTTATTGCATTTACTAAAAATCCTTACTTCTAGGCATGTTTTATTTTATTTTCTTAAGGTTCAGCCTTTAGCCCCATCGTTAACCAAAAAGACCAAAAAGGATATTCACCTTCCCCATGAAAACAAGTAGTACGTAACATTCACTACAACCATAATTTGTACCTAACATTAACCTTTCTAGTGGACCCAAATGCCCATTTCTATTGAATGTTTTTATTCAATTCTGATAATGGTAGCTGCTGCAGGACCAAATTGCATCCAATGAGAATGACTCAAATATATGACACAGTGACGTCTTCTATAAAGACATGTATAAGTTGTTTTGTCTCCATATTAGCACAAAACGCCATATAATAATATGTCTGTATCATATAAGTTGTTTTTCCGTGAGAAAATTTATACCATTTATTTTAGGGGGTGGAAATGATAGAGACTAGTTTACAAAAAGTTAAATACAAACAACAAATATGCTTTCCTTGTAACGTGGAACTTCATTTTCCCACAAATTCCAAAACTCCGTTAATTTTCTATGCTATTAATTTATCTGAACATCTTTATTCTCCCTAACTATTTTAATTAACTCTATAAAGCTACAAAAACTCAGTATTATAAATTCATCATGCAGAGGAGAGAGCCGAGGGGAAGCTTCAACGACATCGATGAATTGGCAGTAGTAAAGGCAGCTGCATGGGCCTGGTTCGAGCGCGGTTCGTGTTCCGACAGCAAGTCGACCGTGCCGGAATTCGATTTAAGGAGGACTTGTCACGCTCCATATAAACCGTCCAGGTACAAGCTAGAAGCTATGGAAAATATAGCCAATATTACTAGTAAAGAAGGCACGGAATTTGTCAAGTTAGAATCTCCAAGCGTTACTACATCTAGTAACTCGCTTCTTGATACATATGAAATTGAAAGTATTTCTCGGAAATTGGATCAACTTATAGAGTTCAGTGGTGACAGAGACAAAGTTCACAAGGGTTTTCTAGTTGGAGATGTTCTTGGTACAAAGAACACGAAAGAGGGCGGGAGAGGTTCGTACTCTGATCTCGAATACAGAGATAAATCCTCTTTACCAGTGGAGCTACAAGTCCACGAAGACGTTCGTCAACAAGAAAGTTTGCCGCTCATGGATGGTAACGCGAATCGGAGGAAGAAAAAGAAGAACGTTAGAGGAGGGTTTTGGCATAGGCATGCGGCGATGTGTGGCAATAGTGAAGATGTTCTTAACACACAAGCTTTCGTGGTTAGTCGTCGG